CCTCGCTGCAGCCAGCTGGTTCCGGTGCTCGATGCGATCGGCGAGATTGCGGCACCTACTCCCTCGCTGATGGCGCGTGACATGGTGCCTGTTCCCCTTGACCCAATGCCAATACACGTCACAAAGCTGGCACGGGGGCGCAGGGATACCGCGGCAGCGTCCTTGCTGGTGCAGCCGTAGGTGGTCCGACCGCCCAAAGTCGTGGTGACAATTGTCACACACATACCCTAGCGTCGATAGGAGTTTGGAGATGCCCATTCTGCACACAGTAACCAAAACAAATATATTACGTTGGACCAAAACAGACTATTCATAAATTACGTGTGCCTATAGCCTTGGTAGTCGCACGTGCGCTGTGGGCCTTTCGCACCAGTAGAGCAGATAGCTTCGCGGTATATTCGATGTGAAGTGCAGAGTTTTTCAAACGTGCACAGGCTTCGAATGCGTCCCGTGCAAAATGTATCCAATTGGCATAGAAAATCCATTACAATTACCTTATCGCGGCCTCTCTGAAAGAGCATGCCTGTTTTAGCATAAGAAAAATTGTGTGACACGTTTACACCTACCCCAACATAAAATCGCGCAAGCCCAACGAAGTCCTACTTCCGCTTCGTAAAGCCCTGTTAGATTTGATTCCTGACGCCAAAGATCATCATGCCCGAAACCTTTGCATAATCTTTCGGATCTGCTGGCTATTTGTCTGGTCGACCGATCAGAGTTTCTTTGCACGTATCTGGATAGAACAATCCTGGAATACGCTACTCGTCAGTTCACCCCTGAGCCCAAGCGTAAACGTCGTCGATTACACTAGGGCATGTCAAGTGAAGAATCTCGTAAACGTCGATTCGATGAATACTTTATATACTTAGACGACGAAATTACCCAGGCCCTGCCTGAGGAAAATGTAAGCAACGTCTGCCGTCTTTTCCTTGAGTCGGTAGGTCAGCTACACCAAGCAATCGACGAATTATTCCCATCTGCTCTGACCTTGGTCGAGAGCGACAGTCTGTCGAAGATAGCTAAATCGGGTTGTTTGACACCCTTGAGGTCGAGCGACAAGTCCGCTTATTTGAGTACACCGAACACTCGGCAAAGAAACATCGCAACCGTTAACTGAATAAGTGACCTTTTCTTCATCAACCAAGACTTCTAAATCCACAAGGATGGTCCGCTGACTCGATACCGCAAAAACTCATCGAAATGGCCGATAAGCAGCAGCAGCTTGAAGCCATGAATAAGCGTGAAGTAAAAGTGGAAGGTATCCGTTTGACACAATTTTATGGCAAGATGGGATAATCTGTGAATTATACTTCAAGCAGCTTGCTCAGTACTTTAAAGTTAAAAATATTGCTTGGCAAGACGATAATTTAAACACTTGAACTTTGGCCATTACTGCAAACTTTAAGGAAAATGCTGCCGTTTGGTACAAGCTGAGCAAGCGTGATATCAAAGACATGCAGGACCTTATGGCCAAGCTGAGCGAATTGGTGTCTCCATATTTGCAAGATCGCTTATGTGATCAACGGTACGCTCAAGCCGAAAAACTGTTCCAGCCTGGAGGACTATCTCTTTCATTCCCGTGAAGCCATCATGCAAGAAGCAGACGTGAGTGAGTTGGACAATATCACTTACATTACACGTAGACTCGTTATCCCTACGCGTGATGAAGTGCAGTATCGCCGCTGTACAACAGTGTCGCAAGCACAGATCGTTTGTTTAAGGAAATCAAATTCGCTCTTCAAGGAGATCTAACGCATCGTCTTGTAGCGGGCAATTGATGTTTCCTTGACAAGTGCATGTATGTTTCGAGCAGCGCAGCATCTTGACACCGCAAGCGCGTTAAAGCAGCATGGTGTGCGCGTTCGTTTATTATTACCATGAAATAGTTGTTACGTGTCATTTTAAGCCTTTTTCAAGTTTTTAAGCCTTTTTCAAGTTTATGTGCCCCATTTAAGATTTTCTCCTGAATTCCAGAAAAATTACAGTTACTTTTTGCGAATTTTGATTTTTTAGCGAAACGAGCTATTTACATTTGTGAATTGTGCCTTTGAAATTTCACTAAGGTAATTTTATAATGATTTTTAAAATCTACTTGCTGCACAATTGAGAACCCCTAATAGGGGCTCTCAATTGTGCAGCAAGTAGATTTTTTTTGGTTGGCCGGCGTTTCATGCAACACCTTTTCAGCCAATCAAACACTTCGTAATTGAGGGCCCCTAGATTTTTACTTGGCGCCGACTCCAGTGCTGCACAATTGAGAACCCCTAATATCTTATCGAGCTCTTTTTTCTAATTTAAAGCACTCTCTTTTCGTAGCCGCAGGTTTTATTACATTCATAAGATGCTACGCCAGGTCACGAGGACTCGTGCCGTGGCCGGCCAGTCCCGCCGCGCGTTCAGCGTGCCGCCCAAAGCTCCGATTGCACCCAAGGCGGTGCCACTCACTCCGGCCGTCAAACTGCCGAGCAACGGCAAGCCCGTGGCGCCCGCGAAGTCGACACCTGCCACGGCTGCCGCGGACTCGAGCACAGGCTCGTCGCTGCCCAAGCTGCTGCTGCTCGGTCTGCTGTCCACGCCTGCGGCCACTGCTGTGTATGTGAAGAAGAACCCGGAGTGGAACCCGGCCGCCTTGAAGGATGACGCGCGCTGGATCAAGTTCCGCGAGCTGGTGCTGGGCAAGGACGTGGCACAACCGCCTGTGGTGCCTGTGAAGCGCTCGCCCGAGGACTTTAGCGCTGCCATTAACAAGGCCCAGCAGGAGGTGCAGAAGGAAGAGAAGGCTAAACTGAAGAAGGACGAGAAAAAGGCCGAAAAGAAAGCTGAGAAGGCCAAGATGAAGGCTGCCAAGCTCAAGAAGGACGATACGGACGAGAAAAAGGCTGGCAAGGACGAGAAGAAGACCGACAAGGTGGAGAAGACACTAAAGCAAGCCGAGAAGAAGATGGAAAAGGCCGAAAAGAAAGCTGAGAAGGCCAAGATGAAGGCTGTCAAGCTCAAGGAGGACGATAAGGACGAGAAAAAGACTGAGAAGGCTGAGAAAAAGATGGAAAAGGCCGAGAAGAAAGCTGAAAAGGCCGAAAAGAAGGTGGCCAAGCTCAAGAAGGAGGTGGAGGCCAAGGGGCACAAGGAGGAGAACGCTGTTAAGAAAGACGTTAAGAAGGTGGCCGCCGCTGTTGCCGGCGCTGCCACTGTTGTGGAAAAGAAGGTGGACGCCGCCACGGCCAAGGCGCGGGAAGAGATCTCCAAGTTGGCAGGCGAGGCCAGCCCCGAACACCTCAGCCGTCAGATGGACAAGCAGATCCAGGCCACCACGGTACGTCGCGTGACGTGGCAGTACAGTGCGATAGTGTGAGTTACTGATGAGATTATGCTGCTTGCTTATTGAAGAACGACCTGCTCAGCTCGCTGAAGGCCGAGTCGGACGCGGCCGCTGCAGAGATGGACAAGCAGTACCTGTCTGGCCTCAACGTACGTACTGCAGAAGAGGCTGTACTATGCCTGGGCTGGAAGCTAACGTCGTTATTGTTGCAGGAGCTTGATGCGAACGCGTTGGCCATCCGCGTGGCCCAGCTGGCCACAGAGATGAAGCACCGCTCGAAGTGGGAGGCTGTGCGTCTGCTGGAGTCGCTCCGTCACATGGAGGAGGACGCCCAGAAGAAGAGTACGGAGGTGCTACGTCGTCAGGATGAGCTGCATAAGGAGCTGCTCGCCCGTGAACTGCGTCTGCAGCAGGAGCTCCTTTCTCGTCAGTCCCGCGAGGAGATGAAAGCTCTGAAGAAGCAGTGCACCGACGATCTGGCGCGCAACGTGAGTCAGCAGCGTGCGAGCTTGTTGTCCGAAGTGCAGCGCACTTTCGCCCGTGAGAGCAAGGCGATCGAGCAGCGCAACGCTCAGCGACTTGAGGAGGCAACGCAGAAGATGCAGAAGACGCTGGCCGAGGAGCGTGAGAAGCGTGTACAGGAGCTGGAAAACTATCGCGCAGAGCTTCGTGCACTTGGCACGGTTCTGGACAGCTCTTCGACATACGAAGCTTTCAGCCACCGTGTTCACAAGGCATCCATGGCGGCGCTGGCGCTGTCGGACCGCGTGGAAGCTGCGGCACCGCTGCGTAGCGAGATCCGCGCTCTGCGTGAGGCGGCGAGGAACGACCCGTTCATCGAGGCGGCCGTCAAGTCGCTGCCGCAAGACGTGGTTGAGCAGGGTGCACCGTCTGTGGGTCAGCTTCAGGAGCGCTTCAAAGTCGTCAAGTCGGTCGGCCACCGGGCCGCGCTAGTGCCGGAGAACAGCGGCATTATTGGCCAGGCGTTCGGCACTGCTTTGTCACTGCTGATGATCCCGCCTGGAGGCCCGATCGAAGGCAGGGACACGGACGCCGTGCTGTCCCGCGCTGAGTTCGCTCTGAAGGCAGGCGACATTGAGAAGGCGATCGTGGAGATGAAGGGTCTGTCCGGGCTCCCCGCGCAGGTTTCGCAGGACTGGATCGCTGCTGCCGAGTCTCGATTGGCCGTGGAGCAGACAGCCAAGGTGGTGAAGGCGCACGTGGCTCTGCTGGCCGCAAGCTGCTCCTAAGCGCAGCAGATCGATGAACCAGCAAACGGAACCGCGTGCGTGTTTGGTAAGTCCAACGAGTTAAAAGCAAAGTAATGACATGAAACTTTTGAGTTGGATGGAAAACATGTTTGGAAGTGCAGGAAGCTCGACACTTGAAGCGTCGAAGGCTGTCAAGTGAGCGGAATTATTTACATGCACTTATAGATCAATACAAGCGATGGACTATGGACTATGGACTATGGGGCTATATGAGCTGAGTTGGCAGCTTAGAAGATGGACATCTTGCGCGCCGTGAGCTTCTGGCCCGGACGCCAGCCGATCGTGGGCATCGCGTAGTACTCGGAGATGTTGCAGATCTCGAGCTTGCGCACCTTCTGCATGGCCTGCGCGAACAGCAGCGCGCACTTGATGTTGTTGATGAGCGACACACCGAAGTCCACGGCGGCACGACGAATCTTGTAGCCGCTCGTCAGCTCCTCGCGGTTCGTTCCTTCCGGCACGTTGATTACCAGCTCGATCTTACCCGACGAAATGTAGTCAATCACACTCGGCAGGTCGCTCTCCGGGTCCGAAGGCTTGCGCAGCGCAATGGTCTTGACGCCCTGCGTGGCCAGGTACTCGTGCGTGCCGGGCGTGGCGTAGATCGTGTAGCCCAACTCCTGCAGGATGAGAGCTCCCTCCGCGAACTCGCGCTTGATGTCCTGGTTGCCAATGGAGATCAGCACCTTCTTCTCCTTAGGCATCTTGAAGCCGGCACTCAGCAGCGCCTTCAGATACGCCTCGTGCATGTCCGTACCGAAGCAGGCCACCTCACCGGTCGAAGCCATCTCCACACCCAGACTCGGGTCAGCGCCGTGCAGACGCGTGAACGAGAACTGCGGCGCCTTGACACCCACGTAGTCAATGTCGATCAGAGCGATCGGCACCGACTTGACCGGCAGACCGATCATGGCCTTCGTGGCCAGGTTGATGAAGTTCAGGTCGAAAGTCTTCGAGATGAATGGGAACGTACGCGAGGCGCGCAGGTTGCACTCAATCACCTTGACGTCGTTGTCACGGGCCATCAGCTGGATGTTGAACGGGCCAGTGATGTCGAGCGCCTGTGCGATGGCGCTGGCAATGCGCTTCACCTGTTTGATCGTGCCCACGTACAGCTTCTGGGCGGGCAGCACCAGCGTGGCGTCTCCAGAGTGCACACCGGCGTTCTCCACGTGCTCCGACATGGCGTAGTTGAGGATGGCGCCGTCCTTGGCCACACCGTCGAACTCGATCTCCTTGGCGTTCAGGATGAACTTGGACACAGTGATGGAGCGCGAAATCTTAACGGCGTCGGTGCTCAGGTAGTCCCTCAGCTGGTCCTCGTCCGAAGCCACAATCATACCAGCACCCGACAGCACGTAGCTGGGACGGACAAGCACGGGGTACTGCACCTCCTGCGCGAACTCAAGAGCGGAGTTCAGGTCCGTCACCTCCGTCCAACGCGGCTGGTCGACGTTCAGCGTGTCCAGCAGGGCAGAGAATTTGTTGCGGTCCTCGCACTGGTCGATGCTTTCCGGAGACGTGCCCAGGATGTTGACGCCGGCCTGGGACAGCGGCATGGCCAGGTTGTTCGGGATCTGGCCACCCACAGACACGATCACACCCTCCGGGTTCTCGCGGTCCCAGATGTCCAGCACGCGCTCCAGACTCAGCTCCTCGAAATACAGACGGTCGCTCTCGTCATAGTCAGTGCTCACCGTCTCCGGGTTGTAGTTGACCACGATCGCCGGCTTGCCCAGCTCACGCACCGTGCGCACAGCACTCACGCCGCACCAATCGAACTCCACAGACGATCCGATGCAGTACGCGCCACAGCCGAGCACCACGATGGCCTCCTCGCTCGTCGGGATGTCGTCCTCCGAGCCGCCGTACGTCATGTACAGGTAGTTGGTCTGGGCCGGGAACTCAGCAGCCAGCGTATCGATCTGCTTGACACACGGCACAACGCCCAACTGCTTACGACGCTCACGCACCTGCATGGCCGTGGCGTTGGGCAGCTTGGCGGCGATCTGACGGTCAGAGAAACCGTTCACCTTCAACGTACGCACGAAGCGCTCGCTCAGCGTGTCCAGCGTGAGCTTGGGCACCGACTGACGCAGCGACGAGATGCGCGCCAGCTTAGACAGGAACCACTTGTCGATCTTGGTCAGCTCGTGCACGCGGTCAATCGTGTAGCCGGCGTCCAGAGCCGAGATGACGTAGAACAGGCGCTCGTCCGTCGGATGGCTCAGCTGCGCGTCCAGCACCTCCGGGTTGGTCTCGTTGTCCACGGCGCTGCCGTCCAGACCGTCCAGGTTCGGGTTCACCATGCGCACAGCCTTCTGGATGCACTCCTCAAAGTTGCGGCCGATAGACATGACCTCGCCCACGGACAGCATGTAGCTACCCAGGTCGTTGGACACACGCGAGAACTTCTTCAGGTCCCAGCGCGGCATCTTGACCACACAGTAGTCCAAGCTGGGCTCGAAACAGGCCGTGGTCGTCTTGGTCACGCTGTTCTTGATCGACACGAGGTCAATACCCAGAGAGATCTTGGTGGCCACGTAGGCGAGCGGGTAACCCGTGGCCTTGGAGGCGAGAGCGCTGGAACGAGACAGACGAGCGTTCACCTCGATGATGCAGTAGCGCTCCGACTTAGGGTCCAACGCGTACTGGATGTTACACTCGCCCACAATGCCCAAGTGACGCACCACCTTCTGCGCCGTCGAGCGGAGCTTGAAGTACTCGCTGTTCGACAGCGTCTGCGACGGAGCCACGACGATCGAGTCGCCCGTGTGGATGCCCAGCGGGTCGAAGTTCTCCATGTTGCACACCGTGATGCAGTTGTCCTTGGCGTCACGCACAACCTCGTACTCGACTTCCTTCCAGCCGCGCAGGTCCTGGTCGATCAGAATCTGCTTGATCTGGCCCTTCGACGCCGAGCCGTGCAGTGCCTTGGTAGCCAGCACACGCAGCTCCTCGTCGTTGGCAGCGAAACCCGAGCCCAGACCGCCCAGAGCGAAAGCCGCACGCACCAGCACAGGGTAGCCGATCTCGTTGGCAGCCTTTAATGCGCCTTCGACGGTCGTAGCCGGCTGACTCAGAGCGATCGTCTCATCAATCTCCGCCAACTTGGCCGAGAACTTCTCGCGATCCTCCGTGTCGATGATCGACTCGATCTGCGTGCCCATGACGCGGACGTTGTGACGCTCCAGGTCGCCGTTCAGGTACAGCTCGATACCGACGGACAGAGCCGTCTGGCCACCCATACTCACCAGGATTCCATCCGGCTTCTCCTTCTTGATGATCTCCAGCACCGTCTCGGCACGCACCGGCACGAAGTAGACCTTGTCGGCCAGACCCTTGGACGTCTGCACCGTGGCGATGTTCGGGTTCACCAGCACGACGTGCACGCCTTCCTCACGCAGAGCCTTGATGGCCTGCGAACCAGAGTAGTCGAACTCACCAGCCTGGCCGATAGACAGACCACCGGAACCGAGCAGCAGCACCTTGGAGAACGTCGGACGGTCGTACAGAGACGTGTCCATGACTGTGAGCTTAGGCGGAGCGCTGTTGACCTTCTCCAGGAACATGTCGAAGAGGAAGGCCGTGTCCGTGGGGCCGCCACAGGCCTCCGGGTGGAACTGCACCGAGAAGAAAGGCTTGTGTTCGTGGATAATACCCTCATTCGACTTGTCGTTGGCGTTCATGAAGAAGGTCTTCCATCCCTCAGGCAGAGAGTTCGAGTCCACAGCGTATCCGTGGTTCTGCGGTGTGATGTAGCAGCGTGTAGTGCGCATGTCGATGCAGGGCTGGTTCATACCGCGGTTACCGTACTTCATCTTGTACGTGGTGGCACCGGCGGCCAGAGCCAGGATCTGGTTACCCAGACAGATACCGAAGATAGGCTTGGGTTTCTCCTGGTTGATGGCCCAGCGGATGCTCTCGATGGTCTTGGAGGCCATGGTTGGGTCACCAGGACCGTTACTGATGAAGATACCGTCGTACTGCAGCTCGCTGTTGGGCAGGTCGTAGTCGTAGGGCACGACCGTGAGCTCCACGCCCTTGGAGGCCAAGTACCGCACAATGTTGTGCTTCATACCGCAGTGGAAGGCCACGATCTTGGGAGACGCGCCCTTGTTGTACACGGTCACTTCCTTGACGGTCACTTCGGCCACGAGGTTCACCTTGTTGGGGTCCACGATCTCAGTGGCTTGGCCCTCGAACTCGATCTTGCCTAGCACGGCACCGAGCGAGCGGATGCGCTTCGTGATCATACGTGTGTCGATGCCGAACAGAGCCGGCACGTTGTGCTCCTTGAGCCAATCGCCGAGCGACTTGACGGCGTTCCAGTGACTGTACTGGAACGAGTACTCGGACACAATGAGACCCGAGATCTGCACCGTGCCCGACTCGAAAAACTTGGGCAGGTTAAACTCGTCCTTGACGTCCATGTCGGGCACACCGTAGTTGCCAATAAGTGGGTACGTCAGCACAAGGATCTGGCCACGGTACGACGGATCGGACAGAGCCTCCGGGTAGCCCACCATACCCGTGTTGAACACCACTTCGCCCGAGATGCTCTTGTCCGCACCGAACGAGTAACCGGCGTACGTAGTGCCGTCCGCCAGCACCAACGTGCCACGAGAGGCGTTGTCTGTGTCTGCGGCCACGGGAGACAGCACCGGCGCCTGCGTGGCCGGGGCCGCGCTCTCCGAGAAGGTCACCGACGACATGTTGACGATGTGATGTGTAGGTTGAAGCTTGATGGAGCGGGACGGAGTGACGGTCCCGGTGGAGTGGTGCTTGCTTGCGCTCTTGGAGGCAAAAGGCAAAGTCTTAGCAGCGGGTGCACGCAGACCTAAAAGGTAAACGCGTCTTGAAGCCTGAACCGTCGGTAGTTGGAGTTGGGCAAAGACTCACTTGGTTTGAGTAAGTGTACACCGAGAGTGGACAAGCGTGTCCGTTAGGCCAATCAGAGCGGATGCCCGCCCCACGATGGGAAACTGGCCTGTCTACGACGTCCGCTTACTCAATGCAAGTGAAAAGTTCAATTTGGGAATTTTTGAAAAGGATGGCCAAAGATTGTCGCAGATACTAA